CTTGTGGAGGTACGGGGCGGGGGGGAAAGGAGCGGGGAGTGTGGCTGGTATCCGATGTCAGGCGAATAACCTTGTTTATTCCTGTCTATGGCCTTTTGAGAGAGGGCGACTGAGGGCTGAGTCCTGACCCGTGTCAACGCCAAGTGGGTTGCGAGAGGTGTTAGTATCTGGGAGGCAGTGAACCAGTTGCGGGGTCGACCCTGCTTGATTCTGTGCCAGCTGAAGGCAAAGGAGAAAGATATTGTTGCGTTTCGGGTTCACCTTTCTTTGGTGAAACAGCGGAGGGAGGAGGTGAAGAGCAGTCTCCCCTCTGTAGTGAGCTGCTGTAACCCCACAGCCTATCATCATCATCCCTCACAGGATGTGTAGGGGGCAGGAGGGGACACAGGCTGGGTTGGAAGTCATCACCGTTACTGCTGAAGTCTGCGAGTCTCTCTGATTCTCTTAATGTAAGATTTGCTGAAAAGACCGTGTGAATTTGAGATGTTGAAACACTTATTCATGTCATTTATCTTTGTTTATATTATGACAAGATCCTACAACTTAGCATAAGTGTTCATTTACCTGATTTTTCAGTATGTGTCTTATTTTTGGAACAATACCAGTTCTCTTCCAAGTTAAACTGTGGTAATCTCACTCTGCTTCCAGGTCTATAAATGTTTAAACTGTATGTCAAAGAGAGAAAAGGAGTTAACCCTGTCTAATAATTTTAATGGAGCCCTTCAATGTTTGAATTAAACTCTGAAAAAGGATCTCTTCATATTTCAGCTATATTTTCATATAGTTCCTGCGTCCAATAGAAAATCATCAGGATATTTTGCATTAAAAAACTCAAGTTATGCAAGTTTAGTAACACTGGCTTGCTAAATGATACTCTCACTGGATGCAGGCAGTTGGGTTAAATATGGCTGTCCCTCACATGTATGAGATACATGCATATATATATATATATATATTTATAGCCTTCATAGTAATAATAACAATCTCTGCTTAAAATTTATGTTTTGCTTTAATCCCTTTGTTACATAGGAATAAACTGCTTAGTGATGATCTGTGGCAACTTGTCACTTGGGCTTTTTTAAAATTTTATGTGCTGTCTTATCTGAGTCTGTGTAAATGGACATATGAACTGAATTATTATTTCTCATTGATTTTTAATAGTGAAGATTTAAGAAATTTGCGTAGAAAAAATCTTAGGGATTTTCATTCTTTTAAGAAGGATTTTACAGCTTGTAAAAGCAGTTTATCTGGAAAGCTGTCAAAGGTGCTTTAAAATAGGACAGCTAGAAATATTTTGAACTAATGTTGGTTATAAACCAATCTGTGTTTTCAGAATCCTTCTGTTACTTCTTTGGGCCCCGTTTTAAGTATTCGTTTAAATATCTGATCCTGTAAATGCTTCTTGTTAGTAGATCTTCCTATCAGTAGTCTTTTTCCAATGATACTATAGATTAGTTCCCTTAAATACATAATTTTACTTGAAATCATGCAAGCAGTTTTAAATACTCAAGGGTGAGATCTGTCAGCATGGGACACCTTGTTACCTAAAGGATATAAACTATTTTTTTGGGTGAAATTAATTTACATTTGTTGCTAAATATCAATGAACAAAAGGTTGTAAGTGAACTTTGTGCCTTTTTTTAAAGGGTTGGCAATAAAGTTAAAATAACTACCTGTCTTCAAGCGCTTCTTAAATTGTGGGAAGACCCACAGGCCTCAGAGCCAATCCCCTCTCCTGATTCTGTGGAACCCTTGGAAGATGGAGGGGTGCCTACCAATTCTGTTGCTTTTTCTTTTTTTTTTTGTCCTTCTTTCTTTTCCATACACATATTGTAAGTTGGAATTTCTACCCAGTCACTCTTCTGCTTTTACTCTTGAAAAGAATGTGTGTGTGGGAAAGAGATTCTTCTTTCCCTTCTACTATTCTGTGTCCAAAAAACATCATCTGTGATGGGAAGCTGGTATTGTGTTCAGTTTATTCATTTTTTTCCCCAAATTTCTATGCCAATAAAACCCTGCATTTCAAAACTCAGATACTTTAATCAAAAATTCATGAACTAGGCCATACTTATTAGTTAAAAATGGTTACTATTTATGCCATTAGGCCAAACTGTCGTGGTTAGCTTTTTTGCTGAAACAGAAGCTCATTCTAGAGTTTAATTGACTAGAATCCAGATAAAGAAGCAAGAAGACTTGGAGGGGGAATGGATGGAGGGATAGACAAGTGCGAACTTTAAGAAATGTCTCTTGTAAGCCCTCCTTAAGTAATGAATGGAAGTTTCTTTTAACTTGGTTTAAAAAAACTCTGCTTCCTCAAAAGGGCAGAAGAGGAGGGGTGAAAGTTACTGGTAACACAATATCCTTTAAGCTAGGTTAGTACTCATCTGCTTCTGCAGTGTAACGTTCACCTCAGTTAAAAAAATGGATTTCTAGCTTTACGTCTATCGCATAAGAATCTAAGTTAGTGGATGAGCTGCTCCAGTATGTCTTCCAGGATGAAAGTTTGAAAACTGAGATTTTTTTTTTTATCTCGTGTCTACGGCAGCATCAGATTAATCAGAAGCTTTTTGTTTTTGCTGTCCTTATGAAACTTGTAAACCAGAACTGCCATACTCATTATTTGAATTCTGAGTTTAGCTATGGCTAGGGGACTTATTCTATTACTTTGGACTACATACAAACTTGGATAACAGCAGTTGGTTACAGCCAGGTCTGACTCTAAAAGTTTGTTTTCTAAAAGTTTTAATGTCAGTGAGGCCACTTTCTTTTTGCTGTAGGCATTAGTTCAGATTTATTGTAATCTGATATTTTGCTGTAATGACATACAGTAATCACATTTAAGGACCATCAAAAGTTTCAGAGATCTGACTTCCACTATCTTGAAGGAAATGGGTATGGCTAGAGAGAGAAATCTCCTTTTCTGCATCAGCAGAAAGGAGCTGGAGTGGTCCAGAAGAGGTATTCAATTGCAGCTAGACAAAGGCTTTTAGGAAAGTGCAGATCTACAAGTGGTGCACCCTCTTTTTCTTTTTTTTTTTTTCTTGTAAAACTATGAGATGATGTGTTGTTGCTGAAGTTTGCTCTATGGTCTTTTTAGAGGGAGTTCTTTCTGTTTATTTTGTTTTTGATTCTTTTCTGTAAGTGACAATTTCTAACTGCTGCTTTTTAAGATATGTTTTGCTGTGTTTAAGGACCTACCAGTTTAACTAGAAGCATACTTGAGTTTAGCTCTGTTTTGCAAGCCTAGTGTTGCTTTACAGAGGAACTTTAAGGATTCCAGGGAAGGTATCAACTGTCAGAATAGTTTCAATATGTCAGAATTACTTAATTGAGAAAGCACTGATTTCCACCGCTCCTCCGCCTCCCTTTTTAGCATTTCTGACAGAATGCCAGGGATACCTTCATCCTTGTGTTTTAGGTAGCTACTAGACATGCGGTATGAAATAATTAATGATCACAGATTTGCATGACTGCATGCTGCTATGGTTCTGTAGAAGATATGTCAAACTATTTTTTTCCTTCTTTCCTTGGTCA